CTGACTTATTTTCCTCTGTTCTTGTAAAGCTGTTTCAATGGCTTGAGACAATTTTTCTTGATCTTTTGCATGTTCTGTCTTCCATAATTCCCTTTCTTCTGCATGAGCTTTTTCCAAATTCTTTCTTTCTTCTTCTATGGCTTTCATAACTACATCCTTCATTGCTTCTTGCTCTACCTTCAAAATAAATAAGGATCAAAATGTAAATGTTTGAATGATTCCACAATAAGCAAATTTGGCCACTTAAAGATACAAACTTGATCCTATCCAAGGTAGTTTTGAAATTCCTTTTCTATGTACATTAAATAATTACATAAAAATATTGTTCTTTTTCATACAGATATTCTCACTTATTTCCATAGGATATCTGCATTTCAAGGTAATCAACCCCTTAGCTTAAGGTTGGAGATTCAAGCCATGGGGTATTGGAATCCCTTTACAGTGGTCGGTATGTCAAAGAGCTGTGGTTCATGTTGGTAACACTTATTAATAATGTGTTATAATATTACACATTCAAATCAAGAAAAATTTATTTGATGTAATATGTAGTTATATTATTAAATATACTATATATTCATAATATACATTGTATAAATAACTATAATTTTCAACACTTATAAAGTGAGAAATTGCAATGTTATACACCCACAAACCTCGCTAATATCTGACTTGGTAGAAGACAACTATATTAGTATATCTACTTTATGTATTAAATCTACAATGACAGATATTTGGTTGGAGTGTATAAAGAAGAGTCCTATATAGATATGTAACTTTAAACAAGAGGAAATATTTGGTAGTCAATTCAGATAACTGTATTTTACATGATTTCATATCAAAATCTGACAGAAGGGTAGGACTCAAAGTTTAGATGAAATAAAATTATGTCAAATGAAAAATTCACACTGTTACACTGTAATCATTATACTTTTAAAAAAGTACCAGTTATTTAATTAGGTTCTTAATAAAAAAAATTAGAACACTAATTTATGAGGATAAATGTCATTTGTCAGAGCAAAAATGGATCACCGGTAGTCCTGGAGCTGAGGAACAGCTTTGATTTTTGCTAAAATCTCTGAGTCCACTGCTTTCTGATTCCACCTTGCACTGCTATGATATCAGGTATCTCTCTTTCTCAGTGTCGAACATCTTGCCCTCCTGGTGTCTGGGTTTCTGCAACTTCTTCTTAAAGTAAACATCAGTGAGCTGTTTGGGGATTTTCAATTTGATGATAGCAATTTTTATAGAGGTAGCAATGACAAATTTTTGGTGTGTTCTTTGTAGAGGAACATGATTAAGGCTACAAGGCCCAGTCATAAGTAGCAAGCCACTGGCCAACTGCTTCAGGAAGACCACTTTCTTGACTCTGTGACCCCCGGTGAGGATGATCAAGATGGTACCAGGAGTGATGCTAGCTCAGTTTCCTAACATGCTGACTGAACAGTTTCAGGCCATGGCTCAACATCTTTCGGGGCACATCTTCAGTAGGGTAATATTTAGGCATTTCTTGAAGCTTAACCACCCAGGTAGGTCCATTCTTGTCTCCACCGACTGGTTTTGTGATTGTAGCAAGAAATTTCTCCTTGTCTTCTCAACCTTTGATTTATCACCTGTGTATTTTCCCTTGTATAATGCCTTTCTGGAATACATAGGAGACAGGGAATATCTAGCCATTTCTCTAACCAGGGCAGGATTTTGGTTGCAGTGGGGCTGCCCCTTCTTGCACTTTCTTGGCTTCACCGTTCTCTTACTAGTACCACTGGCAGAAGCCTTCTTGGCTTCAGGTTTCTTCTCTTTTGTGTCTGGCTTCTCAGTTTTCTTACCCACAGTCTCGCAAGATGGGAAAGGGAACTAAGTTTCCCTATTGTACTTTGATTTCTTTATGCTGTTTGGAAAACACTCATGCATTGGGTTATACATGTTCTGACAATAATACATCTATTTATATCATAACACAAAAATTAACTTGTTAATATCATCAATCTTATCATTAAAGTCTTTAAGCAATACAAAGCAGAAATAGGTTTTCCAAATTTTAATTATTATTTGAACTACCTCAAACTCCTCAAAGAGCTTTATTTTCAGCTTTGCTCTGGAATCTATCACCAAGAGGTTATAATTTTGTCTTTTATTTATTTATATTATATTAATATTTATTGAGAAATAGCAATGAGACAGTTTAAAAGCTGATTAGTAGGATAGTTTCAATAATTAATACATTGCATATTGTTCTTTTCTTAGTGGTTATTCATAGTACAAGATGCAGCCATGATATCCTATCTAAACACTATTACTATAAATATTTCTTCTTCTTTAATTAAGAGAAAGTAGCTGTATATCTACGCTAACTATTTTGTATATACAGATACAAAATGATCCTTCATTTGTATCCTTTTATGTTTAGTTTTGTCAGAGATGGGTATTCCATTGTCACTTAAATATTGTAGGTATATGAATTCAACAAAATATTCCACTATACTCCAGTAGTCCATTGTAATAGTGGGTTATCCATAGGACTGGCGATGTCAGAAGTTGTTGACTTCAGCCTCTTACAGCTCAGTATGTTCATATGGCTTTACTTTTTATACCTCGTTTTTATACTTTTCTGCTGCATGATTAAAAGCAAGATAAAGCAAGACCTATATAAGAAGAAATGTAAATTCTGTATCTGACAAAGTCAGTCAAATCCCCTCAGGATTTATCCTGAAACCCTGTACTGCAGTTTGTAGATCCTTTGTCAGTGTTAGGCATGTTGATGAGTTATAGCCACTGCTTGACCAGTTTGATCTCTGTGAAAGCCTGAGAGAATGTTTCCTCTGCATGTGACTCTCCTTAGGCACACTCTTCATCATTGATAACTTTCCTCTATGGCCCCATAATCTCCTTGCTCAGAAAATTTGGGACATTACTGAGTTACAGGTAGTCACAATACAGGTTCTCTTATGTCCTGAGTCCTTACTGACCTTGAATGGCTAGTGCCAAAATGTTGGCTGTCCTTGCAGTTTTTCTTTTTCTCTAACTTTTGGTCTGCAAACTTAAGTTGTTAATCCTCCAGAAGAGAAGCTTAATGATATTAATACCCTATAACGTAGGCAGTTGAACTTAGCGTCACTATTTCTCTCGATATGAAATGCCTTAGACATAACATGGAACAGGTATTTTCCATCAACTCTGAATATGTTAAAATTTAAATCCCTAAAGAATGTGAAGAAAATAAAAAATAAAAAAATATTAAAAAATAGGAATGCACAATTACGTATATTTACACAGAAATTTAGAAACCTAATCACATATAGCATTGTAGTAGGACTGTCCTATTACATTTTGTCTCTAGTTTTCATTTATTACCTTTTTTTTGTTTGTAACACACATTTACTTGAGATACAATAGCAGTAATTTGTATGATATGACAAGCAGTACATATTTGGAAGACCAGAATGACAGGCATTCCAAGCATGACCCTAGTATTGCACATTGCTATCTACAGTTCAGTTACTTAGTTCACAGGTATCAGCAGGTATAGTCAGTCAGGGTGAGAATCCTACCAATTAACTGCTAGTTTCAAAAGCCTGCAGAAGATGCTCAGGATCATTGCTTTAATCATTTTGGGCATATAAATGTATGTTTTTGCCTCTGTAATGTTTTCCAGCTTTTTTCCTTGCCCTTGCTTCATTGTTTAATCCTTTATTACTTGCTTCCCTTTTAACTGTGTAATACCTTTCTATTTTTATTTCTTCTTTTCAGTTGCTACACTAGGGAGACTGTACAATATTTACACATGTTGGTCTGGTTTGTATCACTTATGAGCATATCTTCAAGTGGCATCCACTTAAATATAAAGGCTTCAACTTTATCATTGTTTATACCTGAGTAACTCTGTTGTATAAAAATAACACATCTTTTTCGTCATTCCTCAAGTGACGGGCATTTTGGTTTCTTCCAAGATTTAGCTATCACAAATTGCACTACCACAAATATAGGTGCAAATGTATCACTATGATATGATGTTGTCAGATCCTCCGGGAAAATTCCCAGTAGAGGAATAGCTGGTTTAAAGGGGATTTCCAGTCTTACTTTTTTAAGGAGTCTCCATACTGATTTCCATAATGGTTGCACCAGTCTACAATCCCACCAGCAGTGGAGAAGGGTTCCTTTTTCCCCACAGCCTCTCCAACATTTGTTGTTGGTTGATTTCATTATGATAGCTATTCTTTCTGGGGTGAGATGGTATCTCAGTGTTGTGTCAATTTGCATTTCACAGATGGCTAGCGATGTGGAGCATTTTTTTCACATATTTATTCACTTTTATAATTAAATCCTCTGGGAAGTGTGTTTTCATGTCAGATGCCCATTTCTGGATTGGGTCTTTGAATTTTGAGGCCTTCATGTTTTACATCTGTATAAATTCTGGAGAGAAGAACTTTGTCTGAGTGCTTATTAGTCTGAGTGCTTCTAAGTTAAGATTTTTTTCAGTTTGTAGCTTGTCTTTTCACTTTGCTGGTAATTTCTTCTGACGTCAAAAAACTTTCAAAAATAGGATGTCCCAGTTGTTAATTCTTTCAAGTGATACCTGTGCAATTTGATTTTTGTTCATGAACTCTTCGCCTACCCCTATGTCTTCGAGTTCTTCCTATTTTCACTTCCAGGAGATTTAGTGTTTCTGTCTTAATGGTTAGATATTTAATCTACTTTGACTTTAGCTTAGTGCATGGTGACAGAACTGGGTCAAGTTTTGGTTTTCAGCATGTAGACAGCCAGTTTTTCCAGCACCATTTGTTGAGTATAGCCATCTTCACAATGTTGGTTCTTCCTATCCAGGAGTAGGGAATATCTTTCCATTTTCTGAAATCCTCTATGATCTCTTTTTTTCAGAGTACTAAAATTTTCATTGAATAGATCTTTGACTTCTTTAGTTAGATTAATTACTAAGTGTTTCATTTTCCATGATGCTTTTTTAAAGGTATTGTTTGTCTAATTTTCCTTTCAGTGTGTTTGTTATCTGTGTAGAGGAATGCTATTGACTTTTGGGCATTGACTTTGTATCCTGCTATGCTACTGGATTGTGTATTGATTCTCTTAGCTTCTTTGTGGAGTTTTTCAGGTCTTCCAAGTACAGTATCATGTCTTCTTCAAACAATGATAATTAATCATCTTCTTTACCTATCCTTATTCCTTTT